CTTCCCACGGAAGGCGCCGAAGTAGAAAGGGGAGAGAAAGAGGAGGATGGAGTAGGGACGCGGATGATGATGAGGAGGAGGAGGACGAGGAGCTCTCCTTCATCCATCCACCACTTCATCTTCCTCCTCTGCCTCTTCCTCCTCCTCCTCCTCCTCCTCTTCTTTCTTCCGCCTCCTCCTCCTCCTCCTCCGAGCCGCTGGGCCTGGCAGGACACGTGACGAGGCTCGACCAAGGGGAGGGCGTCGGAAGAGCGAGAGCTGCACAAGGAAACCTAAGCGTGCCCACCGGGTCTGGAGAGCCCATCCCCCTGATAAGATGAGGGGAGGAGGAAGAGGAAGAGGATGAGGAGAAGGAGGAGGAGGAGGGTTTTCTTGTCTCGCTGCACTTCTTTATCTGCACCAGTCCGCGGCCTAACTTGTGTTCGCTTCGCTGAATCGGTCGATCTCTGCATACTCGAACGCTACAGCCCTGCAGCTGAAATTTGCCCAACGTGAAAAAGGAGGAGGGGGAGCCAGACGGTAGGGGCGGGTGGGGGAAGGAGGAGGAAGAGTGGGAGCAGAGGGGCGGGGAAGGAGTGGGGTCAGGAGGAGCGGAAACGGCACTGGCAGAGGGAACGGAGGGCTGGGTCCGCTGTCGTTTGCTCCCCGCGGTCTGTTAGAATCGCCCCAAGCAGACGACCATTCGGGCTGGGCCGCTCCGGCTCGCTCCCGAACCACCGCACCCCTTGCAGGGCGAAACTGTCCCTGCCGCTGGCCGTCCACCAGACCTCCCCCGGCTGACCGCCGTCAGAGCCGCCCCCGTTTTATACTTCCGCCAGCCCTCCGGTGGCCTTCCGCGTGGTCATCCCGAGCCGATTTTGACAATCCGGAGCCTGGTGAGGGGCCCCGGAGGCCGAATATTACCAAAACCATTCCGTCGCGAATTCTTACACAACCCGAGGGGGCCCGGAAAGGCGAGGCCCTTCCTGGAGCCCCCCCCCCGTCAGGAACTCAGCGTCGGTGCGCAGGCACCCCCACGCCCCCGACCAGGCCATGGGAGGGCCCAGGTGTCGTTGCTACCCTGGGACGGGCCTGGCGATGGCTCGGCGTCGGCGTGCGGCTCTCCTCCTCTTCCACCTCCTCCTACTTCTCCTCCTCCCCCTCCTCCTCCTCCTCCTCCTCCTCCTCCTCCTCCTCCTCCTCCTCCTCCTCCCCTCCTCCTCCTCCCTCTCCTCCTCCTCCTCCTCCTCCTCTTCTTCTTCTTGTTATTATTATTATTATTATTATTATTATTCTTATTTGTCTGCTTTTTCTTATTATTATTATTCGTATTATTATTCTTAGTATTCTTCTTCTTCTTCTTATTATTCTTCTTATTATTCTTATTATTATTATTATTCTTATTATTCCTCTTCTTATTACTAGTATTCTTATTAGTATTATTATTATTATTCTTATTCTTCTTCTTATTCTTATTATTATTATTCTTCTTCTTATTCTTCTTCTTATTATTATTCTTCTTATTATTATTATTCTTCTTCTTCCTCCTCCTCCTCCTCCTCCTCCTCCTCCTCCTCCTCCTCCTCCTCCTCCTCCATCTTCTCCATCTCCTCCTCCTCCTCCTCCTCCTCCTCCTCCTCCTCCTCCTCCTCCTCCTGCTCCTCCTCCTTCTCCTCCTCCTCCTCCTCCCCCCCCCACCACCACCACTCATGATCCTGAAGCGGTAAAAATTGCAACAGCTTCTCGGATGGAGGGCAGATCGCTTTCATTATCCCGGCAAAGCAACCTAACAGCGATATGTATAAGCATATCTGGAAGCATTCCCCTTAAGATTCAGGTGAGAATCCAGTTGTAGAATTCTGCTGTCCTCGCAGTCGCAGTCGCATTCGCAATGACAGTCGCAGTGGCAACGGCCTCAGGATACAATGGAATCCTAAGGATTCCTAGGGATTCCTAAGGTATCCTTAGGCATCCTTAGGAATCCATAGGAATCCTTAGGAAACCTTAGGAATCCTTAGGAATCCTGATTCCGATGGATTCCCAGGGATTCCCAAGGATTCCTAGGGAATCTCAAGGATTCCTAAGGATTCCTGAGGATGCTTAACTATGCCTACGGATTCCTAAGGATGCCTACGGATTCCTAAGGACCCCGTATGGATTCCTAAGGATTCGTATGGATTCCTACGGATGCCTCAGCCTGCCTCAGTTTCAGCATCAGCCTCAGCCTGCCTCGGCTTGCCTCAGCGTCAGCCTCAGCCTGCCTCAGCCTCAGCCTCAGCCTGCCTCAGCCTCAGCCTCAGCCTGCCTCGGCCTCAGCCTGCGTCAGCCTCAGCCTCAGCCTGCCTCAGCCTCAGCCTGCCTCAGCCTCAGCCTCAGCCTCAGCCTCAGCCTCAGCCTCGGCTTGCCTCAGCCTCAGCCTCAGCCTGCCTCGGCCTCAGCCTGCCTCGGCCTCAGCCTGCCTCAGCCTCCCCTCCTCCCCCCTTCCCCCCCCCATTCAGCCTCACCTTGTCTCAGCTTCGGCCTGCCTCGGCCTCATCCTCAGCCTCAGCCTCAGTCTCAACCTCAGCCTGTCTCGGCCTGAGCCTGCCTCGGCCTCAGCTCAGCCTGCAGCCTCAGCCTCAGTCTCAGCCTCAGCCTGCCTCAGCATCTCAGCCTCAGCCTCAGCCTCAGCCTGCCTCGGCTTGCCTCGGCCTCAGCCTCAGCCTGCCTCAGCCTCAGCCTCAGCCTCAGCCTCAGCCCTGCCTCAGCCTCAGCCTCAGCCTCAGCAGCCTGCCTCAGCCTCAGCCTCAGCCTCAGCCTCAGCCTGCCTCAGCCAGCCTCAGCCTCAGCCTCAGCCTGCCTCGGCTTGCCTCAGCCTCAGCCTCAGCCTGCCTCGGCCTCAGCCTCAGCCTGCCTCAGCCTCAGCCTCAGCCTCAGCCTCAGCCTCAGCCTCAGCCTCAGCCTCAGCCTCAGCCTGCCTCAGCCTCAGCCTCAGCCTCAGCCTCAGCCTGCCTCAGCCTCAGCCTCAGCCTCAGCCTCAGCCTGCGTCAGCCTCAGCCTCAGCCTGCCTCAGCCTCAGCCTGCCTCAGCCTCAGCCTCAGCCTGCCCTGGCGTGCCTCAGCCTCAGCCTGCCTCGGCCTCAGCCTGCCTCGGCCTCAGCCTGCCTCAGCTCGGGCATTCAAAGTTTATCACAAGACTTGTGTTCTGGGAACACGAAGATCACGAAGTGGCCCACAGCTGGCGCCGGGCAATCAAAATATGGTACAGGAATGGTGTTCTGGGAACACACGAAGAACACGAAGTGGCCTACAGTTGGCTCCGGGCAATCAAAATGTGTCAGCCTGGGAATGGTGTTCTGGGAACACGAAGAACACGAAAAGGCCTACAGTTGGCTCCGGGCATTCAAAACGTGGCCTGGGAATGGTGTTCTGGGAACACGAAGAATACGAAAAGGCCTACAGTTGGCTCTGGGCATTGAAAACGTGGCCTGGGAGTTGTGTTCTGGGAACACGAAGAACACGAAGTGGCCTACAGTTGGCTCCGGGCATTCAAAATGTGGCCTGGGAATGGTGTTCTGGGAACACGAAGAACACGAAATGGCCTACAGTTGGCTCCGGGCATTCAAAATGTGGCCTGGGAATGGTGTTCTGGGAATGGAGTCCTGAGGATTCCTAAGAATTCCTTAGGATTCCTGAAGATTCCTGGGGCTGCCGGTTTTGTCCGGTTTTGTCCGGATCCCGCCCAGACCCCCTGGGGCGTCAAGATGTGCTCTCTTTTGACCCCACTAGAGACCTATCAGCAAAGGCTGTTAGGTAAGAATGTGCACCGCGCACATTGGTTCAAACAAAGTGCAAGAGGTTCACGGCTTGAGGACAAGTCGTTTTCAAAATGTGGATCTCGCCGTAGCACCGCGTCGATTCGCCCTAAATGTTTGCAAGAGCTCCACGGACTGAGGGCGGGTCGTTTAAAAAATGTGGATCTCGCATTAGCGCATTCGCCATCAAAGCTTGCAAGAATCTCACGGATTAAGGACAAGTCGTGTTCAAAATGTGGCGTTCGCCTTGACGCCGCGTTCATTCGTCTTATCAGCTTGCACCAGTTTCACGGATAAAGGGCGGGTCCTTCTCAAAATGTGGCTCTCGCCTCAGCGCCGCGCACATTCGCATCAAGAGCTTACGTGCCAGAAACAACGCTTTGGCACGGTGTCGGAATGTCAGGGCGCAACAGTCAAATTGATTCGCGGCGCTGAAGTTCCACGAATGGTGTTCTGGCACGTTTCAGGATCGTCAAAACGCAAAGACACCGGTGACTCGCTGCGCTGAAGTCCCAAGAATGGTGCTCTGCCACAGTTCCAGATTTCCAGACGGCTGTTCTCCAACGGGGCACTTCACTCAGTGAAAATGAACTTTCGATGGGGCCGATGAAGAAGGAACTCGGAGGGAGGGTGTATTGCAATATCGCTGATGAGTCTTGGGTTTACACTGGTCCTCTTCCTCCTCCTCCTCCTCCTTCTCCACCTCCCCCTTCTCCTCATCCTCCAGGTCTTCCTGAACCCTCTCAACTCCACTTCCTCCTCCTCCTCATCCTCCTGAAAGCTCCGTGGCCAGTTTGGCTCAAGTCCGCAGCGTTTCGCTCAGGACTCGGCACTCGGGCGAGGGGAGACGCGGCCCCCGACAGCCTCGCGCCTCCCAGCGGCCTGCCCAGGCTGGAGGCGCCACTCTTTACAGCTTCTCATACGGAACGTTTTCTTAGTCGGCGTTTCGAAATTGAGCGGAAGGGGGGGGGGAGGGGGGGAGTGTGGCTCCGGACCTCTGCGTGATGCGACTCTTTGCATCAGTGCGTCCTATGGGGGGGACCCCACCTGCTTGAAACAGGCGCCAGAAACTGCCAAGATCTAATCCGTGGGGGGAGGGACGGGGTGCGAGGGCCCGCGCCGATCGGCAAATCAAGGAACAAGACAACGAGCACATATTCGGTACGACACGGCGGTCTAGCCCGCACGCCTTGGCGGTCACTCCACAGGCGCCTCAGGCGCGGCCCAG